TTTTTCTCTGTTTGGGCTTTGTGTTTGCTGAGCCTTATTGTGAGGTCTAGCATGTTATTTATGTACTAAGAATGTATCAGTTTCAGAGTTGTGTGCTCAGTCCAAGTGTGGACTGATCAGGAGAAAGAAAAGAGAAGATTGAAGTGCATGTTGTTGTGTTTAAGACGTGAAATTACCTTGCATTTTGCCGAGCTTGTTACATGTTTAGCCTGATGAAGATGAGTGTTTTGAGAGCCTTTCAAATCATTTAGCATGGCTTTTAAACTGTTGTTAAAGTTTAAGATAAGAAGAGCAGGTGTATGTTGGTTTGATGTCTTGTTTTGTTATTCTTTGCCGTGAATGGTTGAGCATGTTGTTGAACTCTTTTACTGAACCTTATGTGCTCTTCCTATGTGCTGTTTTGTTGTTGTTGTCGTCGTCGTCTCGGAGTCGGAGTCATTTTCCTACTGAAAGAAGTTTTGATGATGCTACCATTTGATGGAGCTATTTTTGTCTTTGAGTACTCTGTGCATTATCCGAATAGAGATTCACCTTTACAAAGTCGACAAGAATGTTAGTTGTTTTTCTTGATTTGTTGGAATTGGAGATCAATTTGTGCAAGGCGATAACTATAATTGTGGTGTGTTCGAATTCATGTATGTTGAGCGCATGCTTAGGGAGGTTTTCCAAATAAAATGAGTGATCGAATAATCAAAGACTATAGACGGAAGATAGCATTAACTATAATAAAATGATTGATTAAATATTTGTTAAATTAAAATTAGTTATTTTAATTATATTCTTATAGTATATTATATTATATATAACAAAAAAAGGTTGTTAGATATAATTGTAAGTATTAGAAAATGTATAATACCTAATAAATAAAGTAGAAACAATTTCTTGAACTAACAAAGAAACATTTTTTTGAACAAGAAAGGTACAAGAAAACATGTTTCTTGAACTAGAAGTTGGTTTCTTGTTCAAGAAACGTGTTTCTTGAACATAAGACATGTTTCTTGAACAAGAAACCGGTTTCTTGAACAAGAAACTTGTTTTCTTATACTGTTTCTTGTTCAAGAAATCTGTTCATGAAAGTTTCTTATGATGAGGTTCTAAGACAAAAAAAATTCATGTATGTCTGATCATTTTTGTACACATTCCCATCCAAAAATCCACTGTGAACAATTTGCACTTTACAAAGAAACCTGTTTCTTGTTCAAGAAATCCGTTTCTTGAGCAAGAAACCCGTTTCTTGGTCCAAGAAACTCGTTTCTTGAGCAAGAAACTTGTTTCTTCCTCAAGAAACTTGTCTCAAGCAACAAACAATTTTTTGGTCAAAAAACTGTTTTTTGTTCAATAAATTGTTTATTCTTCAACAAACGATTAATTAAACTCCTAAACTAAAAAAAAAGGCTCAAGTAACGGTACAACAAAAGTTGTGAACTCCAAAAATACAACTTTTTTTTTTAATCACAAAAGCTCTATTTTTTTTTAACTCCAAAAAAAATATGAGTTCAACAAAATAGAATGATACTAGTGTAGATACATAAAAATTGTGTCCAATCAAATCGCGCCACGTGGAAATTAATTTATTAAAAATCAAGTTATATTTTCTATTTATATTTTAGGAATTTCTATATATTTAATTCCTAAATTTAAATAGTTAATTAATTGATATTTTAATATTTTAATTCTTGACCAATCAAATAATGCCAAGTGTCAAATCCTTATTCTTGGTAAATAAATCATATCTTCTAGAATATCTTAGAAGATTTAAGTGGATCTAGAAGATCTTGGGAGATCTAAGTAGATCTTAAAGATCTTATGTAAATCATCATGGACCAATCAAATCGCGTCCTACGATTCTTAAATTTGGTAGAGTGCTCTCTCCTACACCTATAAATAGGGGTTCTCCCTAATGTCAAAAACACACATCATAATTCATAATTTGAAGTTCAAGAGGTCTAGAGAATTCTCTCTACAAGTTTCAAGTGTTCTTGAAGATTCGAAGCCGTTCTTGAAGATTCGAAGGAAGATTCAAGCACATTCAAGCTCAACACCGACATTTAATCCGGAAACAAGCTACCAAGCCTCCGAATTACGTTTTTATTCAAGTTCAAGTTCAAGATCTCTCGATGAGATTCAAGTGTTCTTGAAGATTTAAAGGCGTTCTTGAAAACTCAAAGCAAGATTCAAACGCGTTCAACCTCAAGACTATCGTTCAATCCGGAAACAAGCTGCGAAGCCTCCGAATAACGTTAGTAAATTCAAACCGGCGTGAAGAAGATTCGAGATCTACTTTGCGGCGAAGACCAAGGATTCGTGTTCTTCGCGTTCTTGGGATATTTTGACGTTTGATCCGGGAAAAAGGTTTCAAGCCCTCGGATTACGTTAATTCAAGTCAAATCAAGTCAAGGAGAAGATCAAGCCGAAGATTTCACTCCAAGACTTAAAATATTGTTTGTGAGAAGAATCAGAGAAAAAATAGAGATTGTAACCCGCAATATATTATTTTGATTCAAGAATTTCATTTGAATAATATTTTTCGTGTTTTTAAATTCAATTCACGAAATTTGTTGTTACAACTAGACAAATAAAAAATTTTGGGAACAAAAATAATAAATGTTTTAAAAAAAATTATTTAACATAATAAAAAAAACAAAATTAGGTTTAGGTTAATGTACATTCTTTTCTTTTCAAAGAGGGAATTACTTAGGATGTTGGAGATGATTTTTGGTCGAAATGATTCACTTTACTGAATTTTTAGGAAGATGAGAATTTTTTTTTATTATTATTATTTTTTATTTTAATATTTTTTGATTGAAGCGTGCAAAATTTGGGAAGATGATTCACTTTAATGAGGCGTGCAGTATCTCACTCTTTTTCCTTCTTTTTTTTTTTCTTTTTTTATTATTGGTAGGTAAACATTACTAAGGGTATAATTGTACTTTCAACCCCCAAAATGACTAGATTTCATTGTTTTACCAAACATGGCTATATTTCATTTTCCCCTTAAAGAAAGTGCTATAAATCTGCGGGACTGTTAGGTTAATGTACATTCTTTTCTTTTCAAAGAGGGAATTACTTAGGATGTTGGAGATGATTTTTGGTCGAAATGATTCACTTTACTGAATTTTTAGGAAGATGAGAATTTTTTTTTTTATTATTATTATTTTTTATTTTAATATTTTTTGATTGAAGCGTGCAAAATTTGGGAAGATGATTCACTTTAATGAGGCGTGCAGTATCTCACTCTTTTTTCTTTTTTTTTTTGTTCTTTTTTTATTATTGGTAGGTAAACATTACTAAGGGTATAATTGTACTTTCAACCCTCAAAATGACTAGATTTCATTGTTTTACCAAACATGGCTATATTTCATTTTCCCCTTAAAAAAAATGCTATAAATCTGCGGGACTGTTTGAGTAAAGCTTCTTGACACACTTTTATGAAGTATGGAATTTATAACTACAAACAAGTTTTGTTTAGAATCAATATTTTACATACAGCACTCGATAAATGAACATTCATTCATTCATTTTATTCCTCGTTAACACTTCAACGCTCACATGTTTTTATTTCACATACATAACCCAAGCCAACACTGGCACAAACCCCACGTACACATTATTAACACATACGTTGAACTTAAGCACGCGCATGCATGCTCACAGCCCCTTTATTTATCCGGCCACCTGATTAATTTAATCAATTATCAGTGGACATCTTGATAGTGCGAGCACCCTCATTACCCCAGCCGACTTTCCCAAACACAACCTCAAATGGCTCTTCCGACGGCGAAGCCAGAACCAAACGCCCGCCGTGACTGTCCCACCGGATGGTCAGGTCCCTGCACGTTTCCGACATTTTGCACATTTCGTACGCCCAGCAATACGACAGCTTGTAGTTGGACTGGTAGGGTTGGATCCTGAACCAGTAGTCTGGGTCCTTATTCGACTCGAGCTTGCCCCCAATCTGCACGGCCACACTACTCGTCCAAGGGTCAGGACCCACCGTCCACACAGTATTCCCGTCGCACGGCCTTGTGTCCGTGCTGCAGAACTGGATGTCCAGGTTGGCCGAGACGTTGACGGGCCCGCCGGAGACGCCGCTGGAGGGCCAGAAGGACACGGGGAGGCCCGGATCGCGGTCGGACAACGTATGGATCACGGGCGGCGGGCAGGTTCCCGGATTGAGGGAGAGGTAGCCGCCAGCGGCCCCTCGCATAGTGGAGCTGATGATGTAGCCGCGTCCCACGACGAGCTCGTCTCCTCTGCCATCGAGCACGGCGTGTTGTTGGGCGGCCGAGCCCCAGAGGAGGAGGAGGAGGAGGAAACTGCAGGCGGCCGTGAGGGAGATTGTCGAATAAGGAGAACTCATCGTCGAATTGTTTAAATGGATGTGGGTAATCGGGTGTGGATGGCACAACGTTTAAATAGCCAGCGATGGGGCAATTCATTTGTTATTCTTTTTTTTTTAAAAAAAAAAATACTTTTGGGCTGTAGTCTGTACGAACTGTGACCACTGAGTGTATGAAGCAATATAAAAAACGTGATTTTGTGGTCAGGTCGTGAGGTCCCATGATTCTCGATTATCAACCTACTTGCACACAGTATTCATATTATAGTTCCACACATTTGCGATGCACATGTAAAATGAGTTTGCTTTGTGATCTTTTGAAATTTCTTTTGGATAATGAAGTATGTGTTGTATCGCGTTGTATTGTTGTGCAAAATATTAATTGTAACACTTTTTTTATATTTTTTATTTGCCTTTTTTCAGTTAATTATATTTACGAAGAATTTGAAGATATTGTAATAATGTATGAAGGTACCTATTAGAGTATTAGACTTGTATTAGGATTAGGTAAATAGAGTTGTAAATGTGTTGTAATTTTTATCTCTATAGTTGTCATTTACTTTCAGCAACTTTGTATTAAAACCCTAAGTATAAATAGGGTCATTATCTCATCTTTGTATTCACTTTTCCATTTCATAAAATAAAACGCAGTCTTCTTCTTCTCTCTCTGTATTTTTCCTTTCATTCTGGTGTTCATCAGATCTCAATATGGTATCATTCGCCGGCTAAACCTCGTCGATCCTGTGTTTTCTGTTCGATTTCCGTTGCTTCTCTTATGCTATTTCCTATTTCTTTTGATTTTTCTGTTTTTCGTTGATTTTTTCGCCGATTTCTCGCGAAACCCTAGATCTGTGACTTCTAGATCTTCGATTCTCTACTGTTTCTTTTGATTCTGTGATGGCAACGACAATCAATCCTTCCGATGATCCTGCATCTGCCTTTTATCTGCACGCGAGCGACAATCCAGGCGCTCTGATTGTTGCTGAATCGTTCAACGGGGAGAACTATATCTCGTGGTCACGCGCCGTGCTTATGGCGCTTAGTTCAAGAACAAGATCGGGTTCGTCGATGGCTCTATCACTGCTCCGTCGGCGTCTGGTAATCCGATTCTCTATAAGTCTTGGTTACGCGCTAACAATCTGGTTCTATCATGGTTGCTCAATTCAGTCTGTAAAGATATTCGTCAGTCATTGTTGTTTTTTACTACTGCTCGTGATGTATGGCTTGAGTTGCAAACTCGTTATGTCCTGAGCAGCGGTCCTAGGGTTTTTTATCTGGAAAATCTCTTAGTACCATTGCTCAAGGACCTCAGTCCGTAACACAATATTATAATGTTTTCAAATCGTTATGGGACGAGTACTACTTACAGGCCTATTTTTAAATGTAATTGTGGTGCTTTTGCTTCTTGTACTTGTAATATCTTTGAGGCTATGGCTATATCTCAACACAATGATTGTGTGATGAAGTTTCTGGTTGGGTTAAATGACTCTTACTCTTCCCTCAGAAGCCACTTCCTTCTATCTACACCCTTACCACCACTCTCCAAAGTGTATTCCTTACTACTTCAGGAGGAAACACAAAAATCTCTTAACAATAAACCTCAGTTCCTTGATCCAGTTGCTATGGCTACCAAATCTTCTCACAATCAATCCTATTCTCATGCCAATCCTCCCAAACAGCCATTCAAAGACAGAAAAAAACTCAAATGTACCCACTGCGGATACAATGGACATACTGCTGACAAGTGTTTACAACTTGTTGGTTATCCATCCAACTGGATAGGCCCCAAAGGACCCAGACCCACACCTAAATCTTCTGCCTATTTCATTCAAACTGAACCTACTGAACCCACTGCCCCACCAGTTAACTCATCACATAATATTACTGATGATCTGTTCAATGAGTTTGTAGCCTTTAAAAAGTCTCAGGAGCAGAACAAACAATCAGGAAATCTTAACAATCCTGTTGTAGCTACTACTGTCCATAATGCAACAGGTATTCCTGCTCCTTTTACATGCTTAGTTTCTAGACAAATGTCCAAAGACACTTGGATTATGGACACTGGAGCCACAGACCACATGATATGTGATCTTTTCTTTTTCTGTGAAACTCCTAAACTGATTTCTATTAAAATCAATTTGCCAAATGGACAGTTTACTGAAGCATGTTACAAAGGACATGTTAGATTATCTACATTCATCACTCTTCATGATGCTCTATATGTTCCTAGCTTTAATTTCAATCTAATATCTGTGTCCAAATTGGTTTCATCTCTCAATTGCATTGTCCAACTCCTACCAAATCACTGTGTTGTACAGGACATGCTAACTCAGAAACTGATTGGTTCTGCTGACCTGACAGATGGCCTTTATCACTTTGATATGTCTGCAACTGTTCATAATAAATGCAATTTACTTGTAAACTCTTCTTTACCTGTAAATCCTGATACTGTGGATAAAGACATTGTACCTCATGATACTGTTTGCTCTACTACAGTCAATAATGATACTTGGCATTTCAGATTGGGTCACTTGTATTATTCCAAATTGCATCAGCTTCATATCACATCATCTTCTTGCATTAACATGAATTCCAACCCTTGTGATGTTGGTCACTTTGCCAGACAAAGAAAACTTTCATTTTCTATAAGTCACTCTACTGCTTCTGAGCCCTTTGATTTAATTCACTGTGATTTATGGGGACCTTTTTCTATAACCTCTCATGAAGGTTATAAATATTTTTTAACAATTGTTGATGATCACACTAGAGTAACTTGGATATATCCATTAAGTGTGAAATCTGAAACTAAACAAAGTCTTCTTCACTTTCATAATATGGTTTTAACTCAGTTTCAGAAAAAGATTAAGGTTTTAAGATCTGGCAATGGCACTGAATTTATCCTAAGTGATTTCTATACAAATCATGGCATATTTCATCAAACATCATGTGTAGAAACCCCTCAACAAAATGGAAGAGTTGAGAGGAAACATCAACACTTATTGCAAGTGGCTAGGGCATTACTATTTCATGCTCACTTACCTCTTGCATTCTGGATTGATTGCATTCTTGCAGCTGCTCATATCATAAATAGAATTCCTACACATGTTTTACAAAACAAATCTCATTTTGAGGTTTTATATAATAAACCTCCCTCTTATGATCATTTCAGAGTTCTTGGTTGCCTAGCATATGCATCTACACTTTTAAACAACATATCAAAATTTGATTCTAGAGCTATTAGATGCATATTTCTTGGGTATCCCATAGGTTGTAAAGGTTATAAACTTTACAACCTTGATACCAAGAAAACATTTATTTCCATAAATGTGCAATTCTATGAAGATGTGTTCCCTTTTCAATCAAACTCTCAACCAGATCACTTATTTCCTTCTGCTCCCTCATTTGATCATGCAGATTCCCTTATACAGAATACAACTTCACAACCCATTACCTCTGTCCCACCTCAAACTCCTCTGTCCCAACCAACTATTCCTTTGGTCCCATCTCCCTCTACAAATACTCAACTTCCTACCACATCTACACCTAACACTACCAATACAAACTTACCATCCCCTCACCCTCCACTCAGAAAGTCTACCAGAATATAAAAACCACCTTCTTATCTAAATATATACATGCATTCTTTACCAAACACTTCTTCTTCTAACACATCCTTCAGTAGCACATCTGGAAAACATCCCAAACATCCAATATCATCATATTTATCTACTGCTCAACTGTCTGACACACATACTTGTTTTACTGCATCCATTTCTGTGCATAATGAACCCAAATCTTACTCTCAAGCTGCAAAAGATCCCTTATGGAAATCTGCTATGAAAACTGAACTTGATGCTTTGGAAAAAACTAACACTTGGGTTTTAACTGAGTTACCTAAAGGTAAACATTGCATTGGATGTAAGTGGGTTTACAAAATAAAGTATAACTCTGATGGTACAATAGAAAGATATAAAGCTAGATTAGTTGCTAAGGGTTATACCCAAGAGGAAGGTATTGATTATTTTGAAACCTTTTCACCTGTAGCTAAAATAACTACAGTTAGATTCCTCATAGCATTAGCATCCATAAAAAACTGGCATCTTCATCAACTAGATGTAAACAATGCATTTTTGCATGGTGACCTAGATGAAGAAGTGTATATGAAGCATCCACCAGGCTATTGTTCATCTTCTGATACTAGAGTTTGTAAACTCATAAAAAGCCTATATGGCCTTAAACAGACATCTAGGCAATGGTTTCACAAACTTACATCTTGCTTATTAGCATATGGTTTCAAACAATCCACTGCAGATTCCTCATTATTCACTTTATTAAATGCTGAAACTTCATCTTTTATGGCATTACTTGTTTATGTTGATGATGTCATTCTTGCTGGAAACAACATTGATGATTTAACTGCCATAAAACAACATCTACATTCTTGTTTTACCATTAAGGATCTGGGCAAACTCAAATATATCTTAGGGTTAGAATTTGCTCATTCCCCAAATGGTATTAACATGTGCCAAAGGAAATATGCTCTGGATATTCTTTCTGATACTGGATTTTAGATTCAAAACATGCTTCTACTCCTATGGCTGCTTCTTTGAAATTATCTGCTGCTACTGATACTTGTGAGCTAACTGATGTCACTGAGTATAGGAGATTAATAGGTAGGTTGTTATATTTAACTATTTCCAGGCCTGACTTATCTTATAGTGTCCAAAGTCTTAGTCAGTTTCTGTCCAAACCTACCAAGTTACATTTATCAGCTGCTCACAGAATTCTGAGGTACATCAAAGGTACAGTGGGTAAAGGTATCTTCTTTTCTAGACAATCTACTTTACAGTTAAATGCTTTTTCTGATAGTGATTGGGCTAGTTGCCTTGACACTAGGAAAAGCATAACTGGTTCCTCCATATTCTTGGGAGATTCTATTATTTCTTGGAAATCTAAAAAACAAAGTACAATAAGCAGATCCTCAGCTGAGGCTGAGTACAGGGCCTTGGCCACCACATCTT